ATAAGGACACATTTTCTAACATATCATAAATAAGAATACGTCATTACATAAAATAAGGGATATATTTTCTAACTTACCATGAATAAGGAAACATTATTAGCAGATAAAAAGTATATATTCCTAACATATCATAAACAAGGATACATTTTTTAATATGTCATGAATAAGGATACACAATCAAAATATAAATAAGAACACATTTTCTAACATATTATAAATAAGGATACATTATACAAATATTATAAATAAGGACAAATTAACTAAATATCATAAATAAAAACACACTTTTGACATATAAGGATACATTATCAACCAAACATTTGTAAATACAGATATATACTCAAAAAATTTATTCCAGCTCATGAGGCATTTTTTTTTCTAATTGTTATCAGTTAAATTTTTGCTTCTAAATCATTTACCTGGCAACTGGATTAATAGTTTAATGGACTGCAATTTCTGAGTTTTTGATTTCTTTGTTATTGATATTCTTAAGAAATTTCTAATTTTAAATAATTTTCAATTTTTTCTTGCATGTTCCTAAGTCACAAGTTATTAACATACACTGTTTATAGTTTTTTCGAAAATTTTTACAGAAATTAAAATTGTACTTGAAAATTCGTAAAAAACTTTTCAAATGCTTGATTGTTTGTTTGTAAAAATTGAGAATAAATATATAAGTAAATAAATAAAAAAAGGTTACAGGAAATTTGCTGAAATAAAAACCAGTTACTCGTAGACTAGTTGTGTTGTTACTCGTAGACAATTATTCAGCCTTTTAGCGTAGTTTCATATTCAGTGAATAAAGCCAAAGGCTTGGCGTTGTATATTTTATAGCAGATAGTTAGGTTCGTCGAATCGGTATACTGAATAATAAAAATTACTAAAAATGCTTATGAAAGTTTTTCAACGAATTCAAATTCAAATAATTGATATTTTTGTAACTAATGTCAAAGAATTTTTTTTTAATCGTGAAAAGAGCATAAAAAAAGTTTATTTAAATAAAAGATAAAAAAATATTTAATTAAAAAATTTATTAAATTTAATTGTTTTATTTAGTTGATTCAAAAATTAAAACGTGTAAAACAAGTTTGAAAAGACTAGACTTTTTAACAAGTTTTTTTCTTTCACCAAAATAGAAGTAAAAAAATAATTTAAAGTTGGTATTAAAAAGTGCAATTTGTTTAAAACATGAAAAAATTAATTCTTGCCGTGACCAGGATTCGAACCTGGGTTATTGCGGCCACAACGCAATGTACTAACCACTATACGATCACGGCGACGTGAAGGTTGAAGGAATGAAAGTTCTTAAGCAAACCAGTTTTTGTTAACATACATTCATTTTGAGGACAAAGCTTTTAAAACTACTGCACTTCAGTTCATAGATAGCTTCAATCTTTCGTTCTATATACATTTTTTAAATATCTTTATTATATTTCATTAAATGAATCTTGATTTATTCGTAAGGATATTTTAGGAAATATATTTAAAATAAAAATAGCAATATTCATAATTGATTATAATTAAATGTATTATATTTAATGAAAAAAACTTTTTGAAGCAGATCTTACTATTTTACGCAGAATTTTTCAAGAGGATCAGAAAATTTCGTCATTATTAATAAAACGGACGTATTGAAATAAAAAAATATAACAGGATACAGAAAAACTCGATGAGTTAAGAAGAACAATACGCAAGTGGTGTTTGCTCTTTGTTTTAATAAAAATAATATTATTATCTCATTTTCACTGATTTGCAGTGAATTAATTATATTTCTAAATCGGATATCGATTTTTCAGGCGACCTATCAATTAAAACGTAACAATTGCGTTTAATACATTAGTTTTTTCCAAAAAATTTTTACAAAAGAAAGATAGTTTATATAAAAAGTAAACTGCTAAAGATACCATTCATGGCGAATTCTGTTCCGCATTCATTGATAATTTAAAGTTTAAAGAACAGAAAAAAACGAGTCCAAATAAATCAAAATCAAGTACAAAAAAAGTCTTTTTTTTATCAATAAACAGAATTAAATTTTATTAAAATAATTAATAAATTAAATAATTAATCGAGTTAAAAAAGGCGATTTTAATAAATTTTTTTTTGAATTATCAGAATGCAAATAAATTTTGGCAGGAATACTCATCATTAGGAATAGTGAGGAAGTACTAGCATATTTTTTTTTTGCATTTTGATTAAAAAGAGGAAAAATAACCATTTGATGCCTTACGGTTTACTTTTGTACTCTTTTCTAGTTTTGACTAAATTTTTGTATACTTTAAATTTTAAGTTTTTAATATAGGTAGATAAAACAGAATCTGTTTTTATCGTGGTATGGCGTCTTCGCTGTAGAATTTTTTGAAAATTTTGCACAAGAGCATAGTTTGAAAACAAAATGCTGATCAAAACTTTTTTAAGTTATTAATAGAAAAAAAAAGCTATTTATTAAGAGCAATCTTTTCAAATTATCGTTAAAAAAGATATTTTTAACCAGAACAGTTTTTAAAATAAGTCATTCCACTAGTTGATTAAATGATTGCATGTATTATTATCTGATAACATAAAGAGCCGACCTATACTATAATTCTACTTGCTTTTATTAATATGTTGAGAGAGGAAGAATGAAAAATAAAATAAAAATTACTTTTAGAAGGAGGCTAGATTATTTCTATTATTTATAATAATCAATTATTTATAATATTCAATTATTTATTTATAATAATAAATTATTTATTGATAATAATCAATTATTTATTGATAATAATCAATTATTTATTAATAATAATCAATTATTTATTTACAATAATCAATATTTTATTTATGATAATCAGTTATTTATTTATAATAATCAATTACTTATTTATAATAATCAATATTTTATTTATAATAATTAATTATACTACATATAGTTACAAGTACAATTACAAATGTTACAACAAAGTTTTTAAGTAATGAATATTATGGTTTGAAGATTTAATAACAGACTTCTTTTCTCGTCATTATGGAGGACTTATTTTACTATTTCTAATTTGAAAAAGAAATTTTTTCAGGTATTTTGTTTTCTTTTTTTCATTAAAAAAAAAGTAAAAATTATTTTAATAACGTGTGAGTTGCATAAAAATTAAATTTTATTTGCGTAATTCTTTGAAGATAAAATGAAAAATGTTTGTGTGTAATAATTTTCACTAGATGGCAGCATCATTCACTAAAAAGTAAATTTAAGGTATGGATGTACCACTCTAATGGTTAAAAAAGAAAACACATACAAGTTTTTTTCTTTTTTTTTCTTATCTTTGGTAACGGCGATTTTTATTTATTTATTATTTTACAATGCAATTATAATTCTTAACTGTAAAAAGTAACAACACTTAAATTTTTAAAATAAGGAAAAAAAGTTTCTTCGCCGTACGTTGTGGACCATGGGTTTCCAACTTACATGAGTCCAGGGGCAGCAGTTAAAAACATTAGTGAAATGGCGGGCAGCAACTTTATCAAAATTTTATATAGGACTCTTTTGTGTTTGAAGGAACATTAAATATTGTTGTCAGATTTTTATCAAGCTGTACAAAACAAAAATATTGAGTTATAAATTAAAATAAGTGGATTTTTAAAAATATTTAATTGCCTATTAAAAAATTCTGGCTACTATAACTTTAATGTGCACCTATGTATTAAACAATTAATGTGCAACAGATAGGTAACACAACTGACACTCATTGGGACTTGCAACAGGGACCGTGGAAGTGTACTTGCATTCGAATGGAAACTTTGTAAAATAAGAATTATATTTTGCTTTTAAATGTAAAGTTTTTTTAATATTAAGCAACAAAATAACAAGCATTACAAATAATGTAATTACGCATAATTTTGAATCTCCTCTTAATCAGAAACTTAGTGACAAGATTTTTTTCTTCTTTTAAATTAAATTCAGTGATAAATTCTACAGAAAACATTTTTTTCGACTTATTAGAAATTATAGCAACAAAAAAAAAAAAAAAAAAAAAAANAAAAAAAAAAAAAAAAAAAAAAAAAAAAAAAAAAAAAAAAAAAAAAAAAAATTATCGAGCATATGAAATTATTTTTTTTTTCTTTTCCGCTCAGGCCATATTCAATTCAAAGAATTAAAATGAAACATAATATTCATTACCTCCTTTATGCGCTTTAAAATTGACAAATGTAAATAATTTCGTCCAAAATGAATTGAATGGTTTCAGAAAGTTAAATCGGAGATTTACTTCGAGAAAATTTCAGTTACGCACATGCTAAATTATATTTCCAAAATACAAAAAGAAAAAAAAACGAAACAAGAAAGAAATTATAGCTTATTAGAAATTATAGCGAGATTATTTTTTTATTTGAATAAATACTTTCTTGGGAGCAAAACTTGACAAATAAATTTTTTGCACCGTTGGTATGTTAAATTTCAAGAAATTAGGTTTTTTTTTTAACGAAAGAAAAGTATTTTAAACCCATATAGATTTTTTCCGAAAATTGTCCGGAGAAAAATGACAATTAATATATTTTAGTTCGCAGGCCACGCGGCCCGCGGGCTGCCCCTTGGTGACTACTGTTGTAGACTATGTGGTGCACCGTAAATTTTAAAAATTCGAATACTGGCTAATGGGGGGGGGGGGATTTGAAGTCCTAAAGTGGCCGAAACCTTCTATGTTTGAGATAGTACATTAATTACTAATATAATTGGATAATGCATGCTACGAACTGACACTGTAACGAAATAGAGAAGGAAAAAAAAAGCGATGTATTTAAACAATAAACGAAGAAAAGGTAATTCGAGATCTTAGGAGCCAGTGATATTAAAGGATCGAAGTAAAAAAAAGGGGAAATAAAAATAAGTGGAAGTTTCTTCAAAGTTGACTTCAAAAACTCTGTAGTTTTTACAGTAGCTTTATTTATTTTTATTGAATATTTTACCCAACTGCATTCTGATTTTTGTTTAAAATTTCATTTTTGGCTTATTTTATTTTGAAGTATTCTGATTTCAGTTTACCTTCCGGGTGGATGTGTACTCAGTGAAGTTCAGTTCAAGGATATGCAAGATTTCATGACAAAACCGTACGTGAAGGAATGGTAAGTTGTAAAGGTGCAGGAAAAAAAAACTTGAATAACTTTTGATTTAATAATCGAATTTTCACGAATTTTCACTCAATCTTAATAATTCGAGGGGGTGTCTTAAATATGATAATTAGTTAGTGCCGACGATATTTTAAGTTACGAAACAGACCCCAAAATCTTGTTTCCTCTGAACATACCTTTTTTTTCAGTGTATTTAGATTTCTTTTGCTCAAAATAGGAGGGAGGGCGCAATCTGAAAAAAATAGTTTTAATAGTTTGGTCGAAAATTTGGATCCTTAAATGTTAATTTTATTTTTTACGTATTTCACCATATCTCGAGAACTGCAAATTGAAAAGTTTTTGATCACAATTATAAAATTCATTAAAAAGATAATGACACACAAAAAATAATTTTCAATAACCATTTATTATTTTTTGTTATTTCACTTAATAATTTTCGAAAACTTTTTGAATTACAAAGTATAAAATTTTTTTATTCACCATTTTAACCCTTTCGGGCCCTTTATTTCTAATAAAGATAAAATAAAGTATTTTTGGAATAGAAATTGTTTTAAGAACAGTAAATGATATATATATATAAAAAAAAGTCATTTAGTTTATAAAAATGCCATTTTTTTGGTGGTAAACATATTTAACATGACCTATTAGGAACTTACTAACTTTTATTTTTCTTTATTTATAAAATAAATTCCTTAAATTCTACGAACTTCAAAAGGAATTATGTATTTTATAACTTTTATACGTTTTTTAAAAGTGACAAATGGTTACCAATTTTATTCAAACTCACTTCAAGAAAGCTGAAGTTATTGAAAAATGGAAACCTAAATTAAAAGTGCTAAAATGTGGTGGTAAGTATACTTACCACGGCCTTCAAAAGGGTTAACGAATTTAATTTTATATAGCAAAATACGAAATTTCAACGAAAACGGTCGAATAGCTCATGAAATATCGGATTTCAAATACCTGCCTTCTTAAAATTTGATTTTTTTAGGAACTATTCGACCAATTCCGTTCGCATTTTATTTTTGGATTTTTGAAATTATTCTTTAAAATCCATGTAAAAAATTTTATACCTCGCGATTCGAAAAATTTTCGACTACTTTTAAACAAAATAATAAAAACTATTAAAAAATGTTTTGGGGTAAAAAAAAGAATTTTATAATCGCTTGTAAAAATATTTCGATTCGTTTAAAAAGTTTACGAGGTATGGCGAAAGATGCAAGAAGTAAAATTAACATTAAGGGGCCCAAACTTTCGACCGCTCTCCTGACGATATTTGACCATTTCCTGATTGCATATATCCCCTACAGTTTGAGGGTCAAAAATCCAAATCCGTCGAAGAAAAGGTATGTCGTTGTCTTGTATAATCGACTTTGCAAATTAATTAGCAAATTTAAGGCCTCTTGAACCATTAAAATTGAGTCCTAGTTCGTGAAAATCCGATCATTAGATTAAAAGTTATTTAGGGTGCTTCGTTTATTTCTTTTTTTCACCCTGTACATATGTTTATTATATTTATTATAAATACAGTGTTTAAATCAGACCATAATTGTCCACATAGTTGAGTTCCTAGGTAATGGTTTTAGTTTTAATAGACTAATATAACAATAGCTAAGAAGCAATAATTAGAATTCAAACTTGGTCGCCCATACCCGCCACAGTGTTGACGTAAAATATCTCCAGTAGTTTTAGCATTTTGGGCTATAGTCTCCTTGCCGACATCAAAAGGTTTTGTCCGAAATGACTGATAGAGGAATTCACTTGTCTTCTGGGTTGAGTTCAAATTTATAAGTTTATAATGTAGGTCAGAAAACTAGCTTCGTTATTTTGAACCTAATCCGGAGGACAAGCAAATGAATAGTTGCATAAAGCGTAGGGACAAACTAGTCTCTGTGGAGAATTTTTCGAGTAAAATTAACCAGTATTTACTTTGCATTGAACACCATGAAAATCTTTAAAAAAATAAGCTTGACGGCAAGGATGTTCTAAACCATTATTTTACTATCACTTAGATTATTTAAGTTAATAGACTAACTACGCAGCAGTATTTAAATATACTGGGAGTATTATGCGCTTATGTTAATTAATTTTGTAAAATGAGCCAGGTGGATCGTCTTCTGAGCTATCTTGCCTCAAATCATAGTGCTTTGAGTCGTCTTAAGAGCTATCTCATTTAAAATTAGAGTGTAAAATTTTCAAATTTTTAAAGCTTGACATCAAAAACTGAAGAAGCAATAAATAATATATTTCCATATTAAAAATTATATTAAACAATCTACTGCTTTTTATATTTTTTTAGCTTGCTTTTCAATTCGAGCCACAAATAATTTTACTGTATTCAATTTCTGACTATAAATAAATTTACTGGCTTTATTTCCTGGCAAGAAGCAATTATTTTATGTTTAATTTCTGGATAAAAATAATTTTACCACACCAAATTTCTACCTATGGATAATTTAACTGAAATGAGTAATAATTTCTGGTTTCAAAATTTTTTACAGCGTCTAATTTCTGGCGATAAATAATTTTACTGTCTCTAATACCTCGATATAAGTAATTTCATTGTGTCTAATTTCTAGTTTAAAACAGTTTTACAGTGTCTAATTTCTCGCTATAAATAATTTTACTGTCTCTAACACCTGGTTATAAATAATTTCATTGTGTCTAATTTCTGGTTTAAAAACTAGCTTCTCTGTGTCTAATTTCACGCTATAAATAATTTTACTGTGTCTAATACCTGGATATAAGTAATTTCATTGTGTCTAATTTCTGGCTTAAAACAGCTTTACTGTGTCTAATTTCTCGCTAAAAATGATTTTACTGTAGCTGATTTCTCTCTTTTAGTATATGCGTGGAAGGTTCTGTGGAGTGTAAAGTCACTGCTTGAGAAAAACAAGGAAGTGCTTTGACTGTGATAAAAAGGACTGAAGTGTCTTTTATGACACAATAGGATGTAACAAAGTGACTCGACAGGAGGATTGAATTTATTATACTAACAATAACATGAATTCCAAAATGATGAGAATTGTTCAGGGTAAAGCTTTCTAAACTTCTTCTACTTAGACATCTTTTTCAGACGGAAAATCTTTTAAAAAAGTATGTATGTTAAAGGCTATGTCTTATAGCTTACGAAGTTTTGAGTATTTATTGAGATATAAGAGACAGCAACTGAAGAAACTTTTTATTAATTCTTAAATAAAATAATTCTATTACCAATTTTTTTGATTTTTAAAGCTGGACTTTAAAATCTTGTCATTTTGTAAAAGGGTAATTCTTTCTGCTATCTGTTTTAAGGCTTAACATGTTAAATTGTAGTTAGGTACTTTATTTATGTTGCACTAGAGCTGGACAATGGGCTATTGACGACTGTCTAGGAAACATCCCTGAGGATGATCCGAAAACATGTCATCGCAATTTTGATCCCCTGCTTTGATAGGCGGACGACCTGCGCAAGAAGTCGAACACTTTATGGTAGAGCAGTTTAGCTAGGACCGATACCAAGCACCCTCTGTCCCTACGCAAGCTGATCAAAATGGTCACCCACCCACTTACAGAACGAAGCCAGTGGTGTGTGCTCTATTGAGAACAGTGTCTTTCTGATCAGTCCACTGCGGGATGCTAAATTGTAACATACATAAAAATTAAAATTTTGTATTTTTAGGTTTTACAGTAATACAAAAAAAAATCGTGCATATCAAATGCAAATAAATTATACAAAGTCGTGCACATCAAAGTTTAACATTCCAAAACTCAGTGACCATGCATTGAATTTCGATTTCCTCCTTGTAGGTGGCAGTGTAGTTTCGAATTTATTTCAATCGGTATCAGTAATCTCCTACTCAGAGGCAGACTGCATTCATTTGTAAGGCGTTTGTCGTTCAACGTGGCAACATATTGTTAAACTAGGAACAGCGAATATTCATGTTAGGATGCAATTTTGCTCGAAAGTCATATTCTTATGTCACTAAAGAGGTTTCGCAAGAGAAATATCCTGATGCAGGATTACCAATTACTCAACAGTAGCATGATTACTTCACTGTTTAAGGTCAGCGTGGATCAGTAACTGACGTGATAAATGAGTGTAGACCCACTAATCAGAACCATGAAAAACCTTTTCGAATTTGAAGCACATCACCCAATCATGACCAAGCTCTTAGCTCCGTTTTAAGGGGCTCCCTGTTTGACCGGCCATGATAGTATTGCTATGCAAATTTGACCCTGTTCTTACGACGAGGACTGGTAATCCTCTGTCCAAACTTTTAATCTGTGGCGTAACTACCACTACGAAAATTAAACATCAATTCACTAGTATATAAGACATGCTAACTTGATTCAATCACGCACGAGGTACCTTTTGATAGATGGCGGTTGGCATGGTCGAACGCCCGCACAAATCCATTACCTATAAAAAGAATATCTATAAAAGGATATTGCGTACTCATGCTGGTTGTTTTGTTGGTTGCCAGGATCGGACTCATGACCCCTAGCTCCCCACCAGTGATGTGACTTGAAGTTGAAACAATTTTGAGTTCGCTGACCGAAACCACAGGAAAATTGGTAATAGAATGTAGGAAAAGTAAAATTTAGAATGTGAACAAGAAAAATTGCATTTTGTACTTTTTTAATAATCCACAATGCTTGTCACCTAAAATCTGGTAAAAAGAAAACGCATTTCAATCGCGAAAGCAACATTTTAAATATTTGGTGCAATGTCTAAAATTTTGTCTGCTAAAAAACGAAACATTTCAACCGATTTCTGTGATTATTTACCAAAATATAAATGTTAAGATACTCCACCAGAAAGTGCTATATTTTGTCGTTCTCTACTAAAAACTACTACTTAACTAAAATAAAATTATTCTGACTCCATTTTTTCAAAGANAAAAAAAAAAAAAAAAAAAAAAAAAAAAAAAAAAAAAAAAAAAAAAAACAAGCAAGAAACCTAACACTTTATTTCTACACAAAAATTTGTTCTATAATATCACCAAAGCAACCGATGATACAAACTCTAACTTACAGCTTACATGTACTAAAATAACAAATAAATTAAAATCTAGCTTACAACTTACATATTCTCCAATTACAAATAACTAAAATCTAGTATACTTTTAACAATAAATTCTCAAACTGGTACTTTACGGACTATTAAATTTTGATGTGCTCAACTTGAAACTCATCCCATTTCTTTCAATTAATGATCGTAAAAGCGTTCAATCTAAGGTGGAAACTAAAAGTAAAAAACTTACCTTATTTATAACAAACATAAATGCAACATTACTTATGAATTCATCTTATTCTTCAAACACTGCATAGAAGTTGAAATGAATGCAAGTAAGTCTTGTAAGATATATTTGTAAGAAAAGATCCAGAGTAAGATAAGACCTTTTGAATGAAAACTGTGTGATATGTGTTCTTCTCAATTTTATTATTGTTTTTATCTCTTGTCTATATGAAACTTTTTTATGTATATAATGATGAAATAAAAAATGTAATATTTAAGCTTCTTGTTATTTCTTGAGAATGGTATAAGAGAATTTTTTCAAGCGAACATAGTTATGCTATTAAAGCCACAATGTTGCACCAATTAAGTACATTTTTTGATTTTTGACAATTTAAAAAAATTTAGGAAAAAAACTTCTTAAATTTATGCGTTTTTACCAAAAGTATAAAATTATAGTACTATTAAATAAAAAATATTAAACTCTATTAAATAATAAAGTATTAAACAATTGAGTATTAAGTTGTAGTATTAATAGCTATTTTTTTTGTTTGATTTTTCATTACCTGAGTTTGTGGTAGGTTATTATTATTTTGATAGTTTCCAGCCTCCCTTATTTTATTTCAATAAACAGTGTGACTCATTGATGTTTTTACATCATTTGATGGTCACCATTATCCAACATTTTCCAATATGTGTTCATGTTTTATGATATTAACTGATTAAAAACTTCATTCTCTTAAAAAAATATAAATAGGAAATAACAGTCGACCTGCTTCAAGTGCTCAAAAACAGGCACCTATTTTCAAGATTTGCTAGACGTGGATAAGAAGAAACGAAAGCCTTTTTTTTTTCAGTTTATAAATACTCCTAAAAATGTCGCTTACCTGGTTCTTCCACTAAGCTTTTCAGCTGTGTCGATATATGCCTTTCAGTTTGGTGCATGATTTCTTAGTGTTGTTCAGCACTGATTTATTGATTTTCTTTTTTTATATTCACCCCGAACGGAAAACCGGTATTCAGCTAGTATTAAAACGAAATGTAATAGTTTTAACGTATTTTAGTTTGTAAATTTTAAAAACTGATTTCAACATAATTTTTGATAGAAAATGTAAAATTTTTGAGTTAAGAAGGACCTGAAAATTGTGATAAAGAAGATAGTCAATTGTCAAAAACAAATCACAGTTAGCTGTTTTAGTCACCAGGATCGGGAAGCAAAAATAAATTACAAAAAATTAATTAATTAACGTTTATAAATATTTAATTAATGTATATTAAATATAATAAGCGTGATAGTTTTATTTATATTTATTAGTTATGTTCATTTATTAAAATTACGATGTAATAAATATCAACAAATACTATTAGTGAAGTCATTTACAATATGCAATGTTTAGTAATTAAAATATTTAATAATCAAGACATTAAAAAAATACAAACGAACAATAAAATAATCTAATTTGGTTTAAATAATATTATTATTTGGCCTTAAAAATTACGAACAGTAACGAAGAATATAATAATTTGACTATGCACGACATTGTTATCAAGCCAAAATGTTGACCTTGTTAAAATCACTACCAAGTCTCACAGGAGACTCCTGTAATATTGAAAAATGTCATTGTAAAATTTATGAGACGCTAAAATTTATGAGACTATGCAACTTTTTTTTATCATAATTTACTTTCATGAAAAATATTGAAATGGAAATGAAATACAAAAAGATATAAAATAAAATTGTTTATTTAAGTAATAGCACGTGTTACAAGTGTATGATAAAATTGAAAACTTTATGATGAAAGAAGCCACACGTTAAAAAAATAGAAATACGAAGAAAAAAAAAGAATTCATGATGAAAAAATTGAGACAAATTTTATGTGTAGAATAAAGCAATTTTAAGAATATTATTAAGTATTCATTATAATTCAATATTAAATAATAATAATAATAATAAAATGTACATGAAATGCGATTTTGTCGAAAAAATGGCGATCAGATGGCAGACAATTTTTTAATCGCCATTTGTCGCCTACCGTGCCCGGTGATGATCGTTCATTAAAATCCCTGGTTAAATTATTAGACACACTATGAGATTCTATGCAAAATCTTTATTATCAGGTGGCATTATACAGCTTTATTGTTTTTACGCGACTGAAACCGGTTTGTACCTGCTTACGTTCGTGTATCAATTAGTTAAATTAGGCGATATATGATATAAATTCGACAATTGAATAAATTGGATGATATATTATATGAATATAGAATATTTATTATATCAGGTATTATATAAGTATATTATAATAATTAGACCAAATTATTAGACGCGCTGTAGCTCATTAATGCAGTAGGGAACCGATTATCCGGAACGATCGGGACCATCGCTATTCCGGATAACTGATTTTTCCGGTTTTCTGAATCGCTACAAAAAGCCTTTTTTTTATTGTCAAACCCAACTAAAAAATTAAATTTTTTGGAAATAATCTTAAAAAGAAGAGAAAAACGATGAAGTAATACACTAATGATTATTTCCAAAATGATGGTAAGGTGAACATCTTTCAAAAAAGAAAGAAAAATCCTAAAATCTTATAAGGAAAAAAAATTTTTTTTTTTTAAATCCAGGGAAAATTTATTGAATTTCGTTCCGGTTTTTTGGTTTTCCGGTTTTCTGATTTCCGGATAACGGGTTCTGTACTGTAATTACATGTGTTGCAGGAGTTTATAGGCAATACTTTAATATTTAAACATACATGTAATGGGTTTTTATTCGGGAGATTTTGTATATACTTCCTATTTGTATTTATTTTTAACGTATTGCATTACAATGTTAACCAATTGATACACGAACGTAAACAAGTGCAAACGTGTTTCAGTCTCGTAAAAACAATAAAGCTGTATAGTATCTCTTGATAGTTAAGATTTTACATAGAATCTTATTGTGCGTCGAATAATTTGGGCACTTCAGATGTTTAGATAATTAGTGTTTTATTTCTCCAAAACACTGATTATTAAAAAAAAGAAACATTTTTCTCTTTTTATATTTTTATTTATTTATTTTCTTTTTAATTTTCAAATCTGCTCATGTGGTTTGTCGTCATAAGTCCTTCAACTGTGACCGACACAAATGCAAAAGAAAAAAAAAGTGTTAAGAATAATTTGCGCCACAGCACAGGTGAGTAAAAATAAATTTCGAACACATATGAAATTCTATGGAGCATGAATAGAATAGAATAAAGGAGGTTGCTGGCACACTAGACCAAGTTGTAGGCGTTGTGTGTATTTGGACAATGATTTATTTTATTTTTGGTGAGAGGGAGATAAACAGTTCTTCCATCTTTCCTTTTCAACAGAAAAATACACCGAGAAGAGAATATTTTTAGACCAGCAGTTCTTAAGTAACATCGCTTATCAGCATCAGTTAAATTTTTCTCATTTCACTTGCTCTCACTTGGCTGATGTCAATATGACGACGAATTCTGAAATAATAAGTAATTCATATTATTCTTCTAACTGTAATAATCTTCAGGGATAATTAACAATGCATATTACAAGATGTGAAAAAATACCATACAAAATTATCAGATAAATAATCTTCTTCTAACTGTAATAATCTGCAGGGATAAATTATAATGCATATTACAGGATGTGAAAAAATACCATGTACACTTATCAGATAAATAATCTTTTTCTAACTGTAATAATCTTCAGGGATAAATAATAATGCATATTATAAGATGTGAAAAAATACCATTTATAATTATCAGATAAATTATCTTTTTCTAACTGTAATAATCTGCAGGGATAAATTATAATGCATATTATAAGATGTGAAGAAATACCATGTACACTTATCAGATAAATAATCTTTTTCTAACTGTAATAATCTGCAGGGATAAATTATAATGCATATTATAAGATGTGAAGAAATACCATACACAATTATCAGATAAATTATTTTCTTCTAACTGTAATAATCTGCAGGGATAAATTATAATGCATATTATAAGATGTGAAGAAATACCATGTACAATTATCAGATAAATAATCTTCTTATAACTGTAATAATCTGCAGGGATAAATAATAATGCATATTATAAGATGTGAAAAAATACCATATATAATTATAAGATTAATAATCTTCTTCTAACTTTAATAATCTGCAGGGATAAATTATAATGCCTATTATAAGATGTGAAGAAATATCATATACAATCATCAGATAAATAATCTTCTTCTAACTTTAATAATCTGCAGGGATAAATTATAATGCATATTATAAGCTGAGAACAAATACGGTATTCACTTTTTAGATAAATAAATACTTTTTTTTTATCAATAAATTGAAAAAAAAAAGTTTTTTTTTCATATTTTAAAAAAGGAAAAAATCTAAATATATTCAAAATAAAAACTACTGTGTGAAAGATATCCTTAAATTACATACTTATCTACAAAAGACAATTGTGGTGCGTTTTATAGGAAATGCACAAATGCCATGCTAAGTTTTCAGATGTATAAAAATTTTTTGTTTGTTTTCATTCCAGATTAAATTATAAAAAATAATTAAAAAAATGCATTACTGTCTTTTTTTCATTTAAAATATATATTTTTTAAGTAATTTTAAAGTTCACGGCATAAAATGCTCTTTCAATTGTTATGAGCATTAAAAAAAAGAAAAAAAAAGGGATCATTCTGAATAACTTATGATCGAATCTTCACTTTTCAGGACTCAATCTTGATAGTTTGAGGGTGTGACCTCAAATATGCTAATTCATTAGTGCAGACGATATTTAAAGTTACGAAATCAGACACAAAAACATACTTTCTTTGAATAAACATACCTTTTTTTCAACTCATCCGGATTTCTGACCCTAAAATATAGGGGGTAACCGCAATCTGGGGAATTCGGCCCCCCATAGTTTGGTCAAGAGAGCGATCCAAAGTTTGGATCCCTTAATGTTGATTTTACTTTTTGAGTACTTTGTCATATCTCGAGATTTTTAAAATAAAATTGAAAAATTTTTGAACACAATTATAAAATTAGTTTATCCAAAGATAATTCCGAGTAAAAAAATAAAATTTAATAAATATTAACTAATTTTTTATTATTTTATTTAATAAAAGTCGAAAAAATTTCAAATAGTAAGGTGTACAATTTTTTACGTCATCTTAAAGTATGTAATTTAAAAATACGTAATATATAATCGAGTTTCAAATATTCGATTTCGAATATTCGAAGTCGAATATTTAAAATTCGACAACTCAGGAACTATTCGATCGATTTCGCTCAGATTTTGTATCTTGTCATCTAAAATTGCATGCTTTAAAATGACGTCATTTTAAAGTATGTAATTTAAAAATATATTATCGAATTTTAACCATTTGATTTTGAATGTTTCAAATCGAATATTTAAAATTCGATAACTCAGGAACTATTTAACCGATTTCGTTCAAATTTTGTATCTTGCCATGTAAAATAAGATACTTTGAAATTATGTAAAAAATTTCTCATTAACTTACTTAACTTGAACAGTAAAGGTTAAAACATAATTTTTGTTTAATTGCAAATTTGTTTTCTAGGGCAGGGCTCATCTTCACTGAGTGTTGTTGAAAAGAAATTTGTTTTAGGTCACGAAGAGAACCTATTTTCCATTTCCTTTCTTGCATAGGTAGCAATCCAATCATAATTTATTGTAAAAAATAGATATAAATAGTTCTTACTCCTCGTACTGATGTATGAGAAGCTACACCACGGGGGGGGTGAGCAAAGCGAGCAGGGGGTGGAGCCTTCTAGTAGCTTTAAAAATTGTTTTCGTCGAAGAAAAAGCAGCTATTAATATTTCTGTGATCAAGATTACATTTAAAAGAAGAAAAACAACATATTATCGATAATACGCTTATTAAAGAACATTACATTTTTATTAAAGTACAGTAAAGATTTTTACATTAGTGATATTTCAAAAAATATTATTGTAATTTCTACATTATTGGATAATATCACGTTTTTCAAACTCATGAAATTATCAATGCATCATTTTCGTAAACAAAGGTTGAGAAAAAGTAATGGAGGAAGGAAAAAAAATCCGGATACTTGGGATGTAAGTTGTCAATAAAACTGATTGACTGAACGACTCAAAAGCCAAATAGTTCGTGACATATGTTGACAATTAAGATAGAAAAACGACATGATATCTTCATTACAATTGTATTGCAACACAGTTTATCCTGCTTTAATTATTCGTAGAAATATTAATGTTATTTCAGAAATAGTAAGTAATAATGCGTCTTTTATTATTCGTAAACATCGTTACAAAGTATCTTTTTCCGGAAACAGTAATGTTGCATTTTATTGAAAGAAATGGGTTATTAAGTAAAATGGGTTTAGATTAAACTGATCACGACACATGGCTAATGGTAGACATTTAGATACCGGATTGCTGGTACAACGTAGACATTAAATATACGNAATGCGTCTTTTATTATTCGTAAACATCGTTACAAAGTATCTTTTTCCGGAAACAGTAATGCTACATTTTACTGAAAGAAATGGGTTATTAAGTAAAATGGGTTTAGATTAAACTGATCACGACACATGGTTAATGGTAACATTTAGATACCGGATTGCTGGTACAACGTAGACACTAAATATACGCCACTCAATATTAAGCTAAATAAGTAAAATCAGCTAAAAAAAAAATATATATTATAACTTTTGAACGGTTGGTCAGATTTCAAAGTGCTCTTGAAAAGTGCTTTGATAATATCTCAAAGAAATCTCTTAAAATATGTATAACAGTTAACTGTAACCTGGACGGAATATGCTTATTTTGATCCAAAACGCATTTTTTTTGGAAGAAAAATACCCCCCCTTTTTTTAATTATCAAATTCGAATTTGTTATCTCCAAAATAGGGGGGTGAGGTAAGAAATTTTTTAAAAAGCTTGCTTTTATTGCTTAAACGCTATTAACTGTAATCGGCACGGAATATACTTATTTTGACCCAAAACGCACCTTTTTTGGAAGAAAAATACCCCCTTTAATTTTATCAAATTCGAATTTATTTTCTCCAAAATAGGGGGAGGGGTGAGGTAAGAAATTTTGTAAAAAGCTTGCTTTTATTGCTTAACCGCCATTAACTGTAACCGGGACGGATGATGGTTATTTTGACCCAAAACGCACTTATTTCGGAAGAAAAATACCCCTTTTTTAATCAAATTCGGATTTATTATCTCCGAAATAAGGGGGGGGGGGGTGAGGTAAGCAAAATTTTAAAATGTTGTCTTTTATTGCTTAACCGCTATTATGGTTCAAAATTTGTCACTCTAATGTCATTTTGATGTGTCACGTTTCTCTTCATATATTTTAAAGGATTGTTTAAAATACAACAATTCTTTCATTAAAAGTTATAAGCTGTAGGCCCATAGACAAATACATAATATAATAAAGAACTTGAATGAATTTAACACTTTTTATTAATTATTAAATTCATCCAAATTTGATAAAATGTTAATTTTGTGAAATTATGATTCTGTAAATGCTGAAAACTTTTTGAATTGTCAGGTATAAAAATTTTAGTAAGTTCAGAATTTTCAGATTTTACAAACTTTAATCTAGATTTTCAAGCCATTTCATCAATAAAGAAAATCTAATAATTTTAAAAACAATTAAAAAAATTAATTAGACAATGACACCTAATTTTGAGATTACAGTGCCAAATTGAAGTACTTCATATTATATATACGTCATACAATCTAACCTATAAATGCCTATAGCTGTGAAATTAAAAAGCGTCCGTTAAGAATTTTGTAGATAGAAAACTGGTAGATGGTCATTTTTTTAATTTTATATTTTTCCTTTTCTTTAAATTGTGTGTTTCAGTTTCAGAATTTATTTCCAACCATTTACGTAAGTAATCTAGAAATAGATCCATTAAAAATATTTTTCCCACAATAGTGCTACAAATTTTAAATTGTAAAGGTTGCTAATTGTTTTCAAAACCTAGATAAGGTAAAACTGTTTAAAGTTGAGGCAATTATATTTTTATTACTATACTACATTATATTACTATTTAGATATACTATAACATTTTTAATAAGAGAAATTATTTTGAACTTTAGACAATGTGTGATAGTCGTATTTTTTGAATAACTCTATTTTTTTTACATTGAAGTAGGTTATGTAAAATGAATATCGTGCAAGTAAGAGCTTTTAAAAAATTTTTCAACTCTTGTAGAAAACTTCTAAGTTCGACGTCCTCTTTTTAAAGTGAAATATAAGTTAAGTATGTTTTCTGGGGTATATCCAAAGAAAGTAACAAATTCTCAAAATTTTGTTTTGCTATATAATTAGCATATCGCTGCTTAGTTTGGCCATGCACTCGTTTCTATGGGCATCGTTGTTTTTCAAAAAGTTATATTCTGTCAAAGTTAGTAAAAAATTCTGCTTTTGCGTTTTCTGCCCTGAAAATCTTGGTTAAACAATAACATCAATAATTTTTTTACTGATTATTAAAGTTTACGATTAAGACAAGCTTTGTGACTCAGTACTTTCCTTGGTTATTGATGCTTTAAGTACGTACAGTGAATCAAACCGTCAAAATATGCATTTTTTTTATTTAGTTTATCTCAGAACATCATAGTCACTCAAAAGAAGAAAAAAAAGTGTTCCATCTTGTAGGTAAGCCTGTTTACTAACACGTGGGAAATAAAAATCAATAGGACATCGCCCCATTTTCAAGAAGATGAAAAATTACAATAGTTGCATATAAATGCTGTGTTAGAAATCACATCCATCCTTTCAGGGACCCAGCTAAATTATGAAGTTGAATTTAGGTTATTGTACACGAATAGTGACTCAAAAGGTGTCTATAAAACAAAGGACAGATTCAATTTCAGGTGCTGAAAGAGAAACCAGCAACCCTCCATCTCATATGACTACTATTGACTCATTTCTTTTTCAAGGAGAAGTGTTTATTCTGGGAGAAAGATGGCAATAATACCCTCTTGAGAGAAGGAAAACAAGAAATTGTGTCCGAGATCTGGACTATTGAAACAATAAATTCCATTAGAGAAACTTTTCATGAAAGGAATAACGCTGCAACAGTACTGTGAAAATAAAGCACGAAATTGTGTGGTGTTCCCAATGCGTATAAGAACATTTGGGGATATTTCCGTATCCTGATCTGTCGCGCCAACTACAATCGCCAACATACGAAATAGATTTTAAGCCTGAAATTTAAAAAAAAAACATGTACATGTTTGCCCGGGGGTGGCTACGAGTTATACCTTTCGAGTTGGTCCCTTTCTGTGATGTTTTTTCTTAGTTTGATTTGGACCGCTGCCCGGAAGTTGCCAAAACTTAGAGTAATTCTGTCATAGATCAGGATACGGAAATCTCCCGCATTCCCGCATACAAGAACATTTTCACTTACCATTGTAATTTACTTTTCCATCCCCATCAAGATCTGCTTCTCTTATCATGTCTTCTACTTCTTCGTCTGTCAGTTTCTCGCCAAGGTTGGTCATGACTTGGCGTAATTCACTGGAGCTGATGAATCCATCTCCATTTTTGTCGAACACTCGAAATGCTTCGTGCAATTCTGTCTCGTTGTCTGAATCATGCATCTTCTTTGACATCATACTCAGAAATTCATCGAACTCTATCGTTCCATTGCCTGACAAATACGATGTTTTTTATTTAGTTAAATAGTGGGAGGGTTTTCACATTTTTGTAAATCGATGAAAGAAAACAAAGCTGCCGTTTCTTGCACTTTCTGATTGAGATTTATTGTAGTGATAGCGATATAACAATTGATTTTACAATTGTCAACGGAAATCATTTTAAGGATTCAAATACTTAATATTTTTCAAGAATATTATTCGAACTTTTGTATATTTATAGGCAGTGCAGTAATTCGGTACAGTGTGGCCAGTTTGGTAACACTAATTCAACAAATGCTACAGACCACTAGAAATGTAAAGCTAATTGCTTTTAAACGTTTAGCAATCATTATTTTTTAAATGACGAAGAAGTATGTTGCTTCTACTGTCTAAGATCGCACTTGTTAATGTCCTGCTTGAACTAAAAATTTCAATCGAAATTCGCTGTTATGGACAGGGTTAAACCAAGATTAAAGCATACATTTTATTACCACTTTAAATATAAAAAGAAAGTCTCCCTACCAAATCAGCACATTTGATAGCTCGCAATAATTGTGCTTGCTAAACCAAAATATTTAGGATGGCTAGCAAAACATTTATATTTAGATCTAAAGACAAAGCACGATGCTTTTTTAAAGTTTAAGTGATAGGTAACAGGAAAAAAAATACATTCGGTATAAAAAAATATTAACTGTTACTTTTTTAAAAAGGCATTTTCAATATAAACACACACACTAAAATCACAATAGATATGTTGTTGTTGTTTCAAATGCCACTTGACAATTTACGGCAGAGAGGGTGCGTTTCTTGTTTTTCAGTGGCGCCATCTATAGCCAAGAATACGACTTCAGCCACACACACGATACTTCCCGTTTAAAAGGCGAACCTATTGAAATATCCATTCATTCATCCACAGATCGTAATTTTGATCTGAACCAGAGAACGATCAATCTCTAATTCAGTGCCCCCAGAAGTATAATTTGTTACGGGAACAATGGAGGATCTTGTGATTAGACATATTTAACGTGCACCAGCCACCGTTTACTACAGAAGAAGTCTTCGGCAGTTGGAGATCAAACTCACGACCTCTTGAACATGGGCCCAAACGCCCTATCAACCCGGCCTACTATAGATATTAGGACGCTTATAGTCATTCAAAACTAGAATCACGAAAAAAACGTTAAATTAATTTTTTTAGAAGATCTCTCTAAAGGCCTGGTTTCTTACGACAGGTCGGCGTTACAAAACGTCAGCTTGAAGCAAACGCTAATCCCTGATCGGTCAATTTGTGAGTTAGACAGCATATGTCATTGAAAGCTCAGATTGAACGACGACTGACGTCCGAATCAGTTTTTTTAATGTAATTTGTGGCCACATTCGGTCGAAGAAAATATTCCACCTACTGAAGAAAAACGATCGAATGTAATAATATTAAAAAGAAAAACTATACAAAGCAAGACAAACTCGAAACGTCTAAATACTTTTAAATGTATTTTGCTATTAGAAAGGTTTAATTAAAAAAATTTCCGATTTCCAAATTCTGAATTTCGTAATTTATGATTGTTGTATCTGTTTCAGGAAAAAGGCCGACATGAATTCTCTTGCTTTCTGCACCTGCAAAAGATACATCATGCAGCCTGTAATTGAAGAACTGGCAATGCACGGTTGTTCTTTTGTAGTCTTGTCACCGGCAAGGATCAGATTGTATTACCATTTATGTTCGAAAACTAGTGTCGAAATTTTGATACATATAATTTAAATTATGCATATGGTCAAAATAAGGTCCTTATAAGGAACTTTTTCTTTAAGCCCGAATTTCATTTTGTGACCACTTTAAAAAAAATAAAAATAAAATCTCTAGATAAAATCAGTGAATTGGTCAGCTAATGTTTATTCCAGTCAAAATATTCTGTTGGTATTTAAGGACTGAACTTGAGAACAATTCTTTTTTTTGCTGCATCAGATTTTTAAACGGTCCTTGGATATTTTAAATCTGTTATCAGTTTCTCTCTATAAGCTGCAATTTTTACGCAATTTAATAGAGTATTTCAAACCGGGATTTTTAAAAAAAAATGTATTTGAGGGAACACTAATTCTCCCCACTTCTCTGCCACATAGGGTGTGGTAGGAAGAAGCTGATAATACATTTCAGTTTATGATGCGATACATTAAGAAAAGAATTCACAATTTTAAAAGCTATTAAAAATAATAATACTTCTTATGAAAAAACGCGCAAAGCAGCAGTGATTCCGAAAGGAGTTGAAACAAGAGAAACATTGAAATATTAAAAAAATGGATAAGTATGACAACCGAATCTGACGTCTTCAGGGGGTACCAGCTCCGGAGTATTCTTTTCCTGGACTTTGGCAAAACCTTTGGGGTACAGAGAGAGCAATTTTAGGCTTCTGTCGTGCTTTCTCGACAGAAAAGGTTTTGCTTTTACGACTTCCGGAGCTGGTACCCCCTGAGGACGTCAACTTCTGTTGTCATTTCTATCCATTTTTTTTCACATTTCAATGTTACTCTTTCATACATTAAGATCATATGTTTTTTACTTATGTGTTACTTTTAAAGCTAGCAAGTGTACACGCATATAAACCAATACGTTCTTCATACACTTGTACTAAATTTGCAAAAAAATTAACTGAATTAAAAATATCATTTTTAAATAATCTTTCCTAGCAAAACTAATTTCAGATTCGAAATCCTCAAACCCAAATTATGCACGATTCAGAACTTGTACAAATACGAACAAAAAATTTGTTCCTCAGAGTTAAGAAATACGTACCATCTTTATCCACCATGTGTACCATGTTTCTGAGTTCTAACTCGGAGGGTCTCTGTCCTAGGGATCTCATGACCACCCCTAACTCTGCAGCAGTAATCATTCCATCAGAATCTTTGTCGAAGAGCAAAAACGCCTCTTTAAATTCTGGAACGAAATCCATGCATTCAGCGGTAGTAGATAAAATGAAATATTTTTCATTGTTACTAATTTTCAGAAAAATATAAAGTAATTAAAGCATTTCGGTTTTACCCTTTTATTGAAAGATGTAAACTAGCCAAAACTACCACTATTAACAGTTGTAATGTATTATTATTATTTATTTTTTGCAAACTTTCAGGAGTAAATATGACTTTTCAACTAGTTATACATCATACTTCCTTTTAGTGTTATCCCACATTCATGAAAAGTTGAGCACTTTTTTATATTTTGCTCAAGATTTTCAATGTCGTTGCTATTGTTTACGTGTGTTATTTATGTATCATTTATTTTTTGCAAACTTTCAGGAGTAAAATTATTTTTGCAACTTTGTTATATATTATACTACCTTAAGTGTTATCTCACATTCATGCAAAGTTGAGCAATTTTTAATATTTTGCTCAAGATTTTTAATGTTGTTTCTATTGCTTACGTGTGTTATTTATGCATTATTTATTTTTTGCAAGCTTTCAGGAGTAAATAGGATTTTTGCAACTTTGTTATACATTGTACTGTCTTAAGTGTTTCTCATATTTATGTAAAATTAAGTAATTTTTAATATTTTGCTCAAGATTTTTATTGCTGTTGTTTATCTGTGTATTCGTTTTTTAAACTATTTACTAGCACTTTCTGCTACTTAGCATATTTATCTCTGTCTTAATTACTACTGTTTGTATTCAAGATGGACGAGGCACTCAGTTAAATTTCCAAGGAGTAAATATAAATGTTTTAACTGTTACTAAGTAGAGGGAAGTTGAGGATAGTTTACTTTTTTTGCAATAACGGTAGAAACGATATGATTTTTAAAACCGGTATGTATAATGCTATTTCTAAAATTTTTTATTTATGCATAGTATCTGAAAATCGACAACTCTGTCATTTTTTTTACTCTTTCTTGTCCAAATTCATTTGGCACTCTGTCTTTGAAAAAGTAAAAAGTGGTAGCAATATAACTCCCGCAATTGTATTTACCTAAATCCGTATCAGTGTAGGGTGAAACGCAAAGGTCACCTTTAGCATATGCTCTTAAATTTTTTTTTAATTCTGTCGTTAAACAGCCGACCCAATTTTATGGGTTTACGAGTACTAATGTTCAACTCCGTAAACTTGTAATTTTGAACCCAATCCAGAAGACAAGGAAACTGCTGGCTCGAGTATTGGGAGAAATTTTTCCTTCGGGGAGGACTCTTTTGATTGAGCTAACCCGCATTTGCGTTAATGGAGAGGCGGACCACGCGAACCTCCCATGGTTAGCCTGACGGCAAGGGGACTCTAACCCACGATCCGTTTACCACTGAGGATATTTCACATCAGCACTGTGGTCGGTGCAAGCCGGATGCGGATTCGTATCGACCAGCCATCACTGGAATTCAAACCCGGGTCACCTCATTGGNAAGAAGTGGGGACTGGAAGCATCAAAACCTGATTGATTACCCGAAGAAACAATGAGGAATGAAGAGACGATTACCAGAAACTCAAGGAAGTTTTTACACCTGGTTTCAATGGCTTTAGATCCACCTTACTCAGTAGTGATTCTAAAATATTCAAAAATGAGCAGCAATGGTTCTGGATATAGAGCGCTCTCCACCGGATGAGGTGATTCAGGTTCAAGTCCCAGGGACGGCTGATCGACATCAAATCAGCCCTCGGCTCATAGCAACCACAGTGCTAACATAAAATATCCTCAGTAGTGGACAAATCATGTGTCCGAATCCCCTTTCCGTTTGCTGACCGTGGGAGGTTTTAGTGGTTTTTCTCCTAATGTAACGCGAATGTGTGTTAGTTCCATGAAAACGCCGTCCATGAGAGCTAGTTGTCCCAAAACTTTATCAATAATTTTTGTTTTTTTTGGTCTTCTGGGGTTGGTTCAAAATTACAAGACTACGAAGTTGAACATTGATAGTCGTAAACCAAAAAATTGCTACAGGCAGTAAATTAAAATAAAATAAAACTTCAAGAGTTTTAGTTTCCCCTCCGGTTGAATAACGATTTGAGACCAGTAGTTTGTACTCTTTACTTCATTTTTGCCAAGGATTTGAAAAATATTCATTAAGGGCAGATATTACCCTACACCCTTTATTATGTTGATAATTTACAAATCTTCTATCTTCTGCGTAGATTTTATAAAGAGGTTTGCATGAAACATAACAACAATATTGCATAGAAAATCATAATTGCAATTATCTATTGTTTCATTTTACTTATTTGGCAAATAATAAAAAATAGTGTCTCCCTATTTTTATAAAACAATCACTTTTTCCACTTATATTAAACTGTCTCTTTTTTTACTTCATATTTATAAAACTGTGATAATTAGTTCCAGTTTCTCCCTGTAAAATATGTTTCTGAAATATAAATAAAACTTTTATCGCATTTCATTTTATTGGCCTTAGAACAGCCTATTCATTTTTGAGTTTCAGCCTACTATCGATGTTGAACTCCGTAGCCTTATAATTTAGGACACAAACCAGAAGACAAGGGAACTCTTGGATCCAATACCGTTAGAAACTACCCGTCGTTGAGAACTTTTGGATGAAATTAACCAGCTTTTGCGCTACATGTAGAGGAAAACACGATAACTTCCCACGGTTAGCCCGACTTTAAAAGGATTCGCTGAGGATATTTTATTTTAGCATGTAGTCGGTGTGATCCGGGAGCAGGCTTCATATTGACCAGTCATTACTGGGATTAGAACCTGGGTCGCCTCTATGGAAGGCGAGGTATTTGTAAAATTATTTGGCAAAAAAGTTTATATCTGTGGAACACTTGAATATTTTGATAGTTTTAAACGTTGATTAGTCATTGCTTTTTTACAACTTGCTACTTCAACGCAACCACTACATGAATTCAGTTAAACAATAGAATCAGAAAATAAAGAATAAATATAACATACCAGCAACTTGCTCTTCTGTGAGACCGTAATCCACCTGCAATTTAAAAAAAAACTCTTGATTAATATAAATCAGCAGTTACAAAATGTAATTCTTAAATACACGAAAGATAAACCGAATCGTTATTTTTGAAAGTGGAATAAGTCTATTTGGAGTTAATGAATCGTTTATTTTTCTTTTACGGTTTTAATAATTATTATTGAATTTCAAAGTTCAATCAAATTATACTGTTAAAAATATCATTCAACTCGATTGACTTTCACCAATATTTTTAAATTCATTTCACTTTCAAAAATAACGGTCAAATTAAGCTTACTTAGGATCAGTAAAATCACTACTGCAACTGAACTAAGCATTACAAAGTATGGTTAAAAACATAAGGATGCACAGTGGGCCAGCATCCAAGGTTTCGTGGCCAAAATTAGTATTTCGATAAAATTTGTTTCAAAATTTGGGGTTTTTTATTTAGGGTTTTTTATGTGCAGGTAAATTGAATTCATAGTTGAAATTTTGAAATACACTAAAAATACCTCCCCTCCCCCCCAAAAAATGGCGGCTGAAATATAGCGAGCAAAAATAAAAAAAAAATAATATAGTACGTTTGAATAACTAAATATAGCAATGAAAATGTAATAATTTCCGTAATTTTATATTAAAAATGAAAAGAAAATTATATTTCCGAAGTAATGTTACAAAATAACACGAAAACATGGAAAAAAAAGCATGATTTTTGTTTTTCGGTATATTTAGCCCACCTTTGCAATACGGGCAAAACGGGGCAGGTTTTTTCGAAAGAAGAAACATCAAAGAAGACAACAAAAAAAAGTTTAGCTAATTACCTCGTGGAACTTTTTGGAACAAAGTTTCGAAAGTCATTTAAACATTGTAAAATGTCAAATGATAAGATATAAACTATAAGTTTGTCAAGAGTATTAACTAATCCAACAAATTGAAAAGTTGTACTATAATTTCAGACTAATTACTCTGATAAAAATGTAACAGTGAGGTGAAATTCCAATGTATATTTCTGAAATAAAAATTTGAGAGTTACATTTAAAAAAATTTTTTTAGCATATTTTTCATTACATTGTACTCTCGTCGGTCCAAAAAGTAAATTATAATGTTTGGAATGATTATGAATACTTAATTTGGGCAATATTAAAACTGCCTACACCTATTTTAGTTGAAAATTAAATTTTTTACTTTTGGCCAAGGATCATGGTCTTCTGGCCCAGAGTGGGATGGGGCAAAAATTTGCTTAACTACTGTCACTGGGCCCCAAAATATTATTTTCCATTTATTATTAAAATAAAAAGGCTTTTGTTGGTATGCGTTGCACAATGGTAAAGATATTCGCCTTCTAAATGGTATGTTTTAGCTTTAATTTCTGAAAAAGATTCATTAAATATTTATCTTTAGCCTGAAGAATACTGTTATTTTCATTAACAGTATATTTGAGAAAATATTAAATTAAATTTGCCTTAAAAATTGAGTTTTTAATTATCAAATTTCGCTCCACGTTTTTGGTTTTGCAAAATTCAGTTTCAAAAAATGATAGATATTTATACTGTTTTCCAAAGTCAAATATCTTAGAAAAAAAAACTAACTTTATTTTAAAAATAAAGTAATTTTTAATTTCTCTTTAATTAAACATTTTCGACTATACATGAATAATATATATTTTTAAAATGGAAAGACAACTTTTTTCAATTGAAAGTAATTGAAGCATCTCATAAAATTTTTAAAAATTTGTTCCCTTTATTTATTTTAAAAATTATTCAATTGTATTTAGTTTTATTTATTAGAAGCAAAAGAAAAACAAGTCTTTATAGGGGAAAACTTTTAAAGTTCGCTCAATTAATTTTCGTAATTGAATTTAAAATAAAAAAGTAGGATTATTAAACTCAAAAAAGAAAAAACTCAGTTCTAAACGCTAGCAAAATGTAAATTCAACAAAAGCATATTCTTTAATAATTCATGTGGTTAAAATTAAAGAATTAATTAAACATTTTTAAGTTAAAAAAAAACATTTGAAGACAATATTTCATAAAGATTTTAAATTTTTCTATTTACAGATGGGTAAGTAAAAATAGTCACCTACAGGTATTGAACCAGAGTTGATATAGAATACCAGGTATGGAATACTTTAACCCTTGAGCCACGGTTACACTTTCAAGGATAGTTATTTTTTTATTCAATAAACTTAATTCTTTAAACTTTTAATTTAAACTTTGGAACTTATATGTTACCCCAGGAATAGCAAACATTTTATTCTATGTTTCCGAACAGGCTCTATTATTTAAGCTTGGTTTCCTTTCGACAGAAATAATGTATTATCATATTTTCCTTGATAGTATAAAATAAGCTAGTGGAGTTTTAAATTAGAATATTCTAGAAAAAAAAAACATCCCAGGGTCTTTCAAAAAAGTAGATTAATTTTATTTTCGAAAAACAAAAACGTGTTAGAAAAGATCTTACATTATTAATATCATTTTGCAAAAGCAGTATAGTAGTTTAATCCATAAGGCACAGTACTTTTCTTAAAGTAACAGTTAACGAAAAATGAACATTCGCTAAGCTTGAAGGTGATATGTTATCACTTTATTTCGTAAACGGATTTAGAAATCGCATTTTAATTTTAATAAACGAACAAGAGACGGTTTTTTCATTGCTAAAATTTCGATGATTTTCGAATTCTGTGATCCATCACAGATGATTCATACTTATAGATTCAAATTTCCCTTTCTAGCATTTATTAAAAAATAATACAATGCCCACATATTTTATATACTTTACAGCAAATAAAATACATACGATATTATAATCTGACAAGCATCAGATATACTTACTAAATAACGTTTTTCTGGTTATTTTGTTGGTGTAGACAATTGCAAAATTTGATAGGTACGTATAAAATTAAACTAGAAATGGATACGGTATGAAACAAGGCTAGTTCTTACCAAGCATGGAAGAAGAACAATTTTAATACAACTTTCATTAGGGTGCAAAAATAATTGCAAAGCAGACACCCCGGGGTCTGCACAGTGGAAACAGCATCGTCTTCGCATCACAAAGGTTCCTGGTTCAATTCCCGGTAAGTCCTTTACGAATATGTATTATCTCATTGTGTATAATGTGTTTATGTGTATTATTCCGTTAAACGTCCGATCGCCCTCGCGAATTATAACCCCTCGAAATCTAATAAAGTGGTCGCGTGAATTACTGGAAACAATGAGCAGTTTCCAGTAATAACCGTCATCACTTTTTTTCACAACTGGAAAAATTAAACAATTTATTTGTTTAATTATGTATTAATTATTTGCTTTTACGACTTCCAAAATATGGGTTTTTCTTTTTAACTATAAAATCATTAGACTGCTTTCTCCAAAGTAAAAAAAAAAACGACTTTTTAAAAGTGAAAAAATTTTTTAAGTATTTTTTAAACTTTATTACATAGTTTTTAATTTACTACAAAAAAAAGACTTTTAAGGAGAACAATTTGATATTCAATTAATTAATTTTCGTAATAAAATTTAAAATAGAAAATTCGATGATTATTAGATTTATAAAAACAATTCAGCTCAAAGCGCTAACAACATTAAAAGTCAACCAATGCTTCGTTCTAAATTCTTAATGTGGTTTAATTTTAAATAAATAAAATTTTCAGTTCAAAAAATTAATTTTTTTTTATGAAAATTCATTTTTTAATTAAAAAATTTAATTATTGAAAATAAATATTTCAAATTTTTTTTTTAAATTTACGTACTTTTAATAAAAAGAACATTTTTAATTTTACAGATCATTCTCCCCAGCATCGAAAATTAAAATTTACTATTTTTCAGTTAGATATAATTCAGTTATATATAAACTTTGGTAAATTATTTTCCAAAAATATTTTCTTCTATAGTTATATACTTTAAAGCAGTGTTTCCCAACGTGGGGCCCACGCCCCACTAGGGGGCAATTTGATTGTTAAGGGGGGCGATTCGAAAATTGACTCTACATGAGTTTAACCCTTTTACTCTGGGCCATTTCAATGCAATGTTGGTTTCGGTGTTAAAATTGAAGGAAAAAAGCAAATTCTTAATTGAGACCAATAACTATTACGCGACTTGGCGATTTTTTTGGACAACAAACCTAAAATGAAGTATCTGTTAACGGTCGATGGTGAGTTATTTAGTCGGTATCTTCGAAAAACTAAATACTATATATATATATATATATAGTATAAGTCTATAAAAGAACTCCGGGGTTTTAAAAATTCATATATCACTAACTATAAAAGATAGCAAAATTTAGTCGATTTCTCTGAAAAGAGTAGCTCAAAAAGTTTTACTCATACCAATTGGGAATGTTTGTATCAACTGTTGGCGGCGCTGCAGGGCGTTGACCTAGAAATGGATTTGGATTTTGGATTTTTTCTTTTGGATTCCGTTGAATTTTTTCTTCTGGGGGCATATCAAGAATCTTGTGTATGCAGAGAAAATTCGTGATGTTCAACATCTCAGGGAACGAATAGTCAATTGTGTGGCAACCGTCCCCCCAGACATGCTCGCCAGGACATGGGAAGAGGTAGAATACCGTTTAGACGTCTGCCGTGCCACTAACGGGGCTCATATAGAACTTTACTAAGTGTTAAAAAAAACTTGAAAATGTAAGCTTTTCAGTCATGTATAAAACATGTATGTATGTTTTTTATTTCATTAAAATATTTTGCCTCAAAACCCCGGAGTTCTTTTATCGACACCCTGTATATTAAATAAGCAACTTCAAGGAACAAATGGAACTCTGATGCAAAAGCGAAGATATTTGGTTTCATTACCGTTATGCCAGAAATATATTAACAACAAAAACTTTGAACAGTTTCATTGGCTCCAAAAATGTGAAGTAAATGATACCGCTTTACTTGTTATTGTCGATCATCTGAAAATTCTTTCGGCTGATTTGCAAGAAACTTTTTCTGATTTAAAACAAGTTGATTTTCCAACACGGATGATGCAGTCGATGTTAGTGGATTTGTCTGATATATCAAATATGCAGTATTAAGAAGAACTCG